CGGCCTTGACTCCTACATAGCTAAATCCATTTTTTTCTTCAAATTTTTGAATTGAGTTTTTTTTTTGTTGAAAAGGATGTTTTTTGAAAAAGTAACGATTTTCTGATTACACTTACCGAAAACGTAAGAATAGGGACGTGATAGCTCTTGAGCAAGATAACTCAGCTCGAGAATTTCGATAAACTATGTATAGATTAGGATTCCTTGATCTCAGAAGACTTCAATCAAAGTTTTTAGAAAATCGGTATTTTTGGAAAAAAAGACCTATTTTAACCAAAAAATTAATTAACTTGAAAATTTGTAGTAAAAAATGGATTCAGCTATGCAAACTTTGATTATAGGATCATGCCTATCTATAATGACAAAAATATCATTACTAAAGCAATTAAACTACTTGAAAATAATAGAATATGATGAATAAAGTGCTCTGCTCTTTCATTTATGACAAGCGTCCATAAAATAGATCTGACGTCTGTGCCGAAACATCATGAAAGAAAACGTTTCTACTTGTAACACGATTTTTTTTTCTCATAATGGAACTATTTTATATTAGATACTGGCAGCAGAACAACGGAGCGTTCATTTTCTTAAATCAATGAAAATAAAATTTATATAATAATTATTATAGCGTATTAATAAAAAAAGCATGACATCAGTTTCATTCTGTAATATTATACATGCATGAACATCTTCTGTCATTGTTATGCCGTCATGAAGATTTCAAAGCATTAAATAGAATCTAGAAATAATTGTGACAGATATGTGACAACCCAAAAAAAGTTTAGCAGTGCGTGCGAAAAATCTAAACTTAAATAATACGAACAACTCATACGTGAATACCGTGATATTCATATTATAGAACTACTATAGCCTAACGACATAAAGTTTATGTAATTTAATGGCTCTCTCATCAGATGGGGTATTTGAATTTGCGGCAAATTCATTTATAATTTAAAAAAAAAGACTTTGAAGAAAATACTTTGATGGAGGTATTGGAGGGGTAATATACCATCGCCAATTGGCGAATACACTATGGCGAAACAAAAAGTTTATTGACAAATTTCACACTAGAGATTCACCAATTTGAATCAACTGAGTTGTAACTCAATTATAGTACTTGATATTGTTACCAATGAAACTGAATTAACTCAAGTATATATAACTGCTACAATGAAAAATTATTGTTTTGTCTACGTTCAGTTTAGTCGAACATGTGCATTGTGTTATTTGAGAATGCATAGGATCGAACTGGGACACACTGTCCTCTGTGGTAATTTATTTTGTACATAATAAATATCTTGCACTTGACCGTATGTGATTGGTCACGATATAGTTACAGAGAAAAGTCTTTGCTCTTATATCCTCCTCTATTTATTTATTCCTTAACTAATAATATTATAATAAACATATAGGGTGTGGGTGGGTGTTGTTCTTAATTCAACCCACACCCACATCCACACCCTTATCTGATGCATAAATAAAATTTTAAAAAAGGAACTGTCTTCTATGTAAGCATATACCTAGCTAAAATTATTAATTGAGCTTGGCCGTTACTTGTGACTAACGTCGGACAATCAAATCATAAACGACCGATATTATTAAAAAAATGCAATTGTGTAGTCAATCCTCGCTAAAAATTATATGGCTTTCTAAAAATTTTAGTTATTCTGAATTGTATGCATCGCCTGCTTAATAATTTATTTATAATTTGCTATCAAGAGGATTTTTCTAAGTAATAAACTACTAAAACACATATTTTTTCTAAAGATGTTTGACATATACGTATACGTGTGCTCCACTATAACCAAACAGTGAACTTTTCCTTACAAGTCTTAGGATTTTATATTTATGTAATTCGTACATTAAGATGAATATCGAATGAAAGCTATAAAATGATGTCTAATTTGTACCCTTATTATTTTTTTTCTGCAAGGATTCAAAAGTTGGAAACAAATTATAGATGATAATCTGCTTCAGGCTTTTAAAAAGTACTTAGTCCATGGCAGATTTATATACTCCATAGTTAATAATTGTACCAAATATATGGAAAACAAATTGTTGTCTCGTTTTTGCTAAACAACATTATAATGGAACAACGACTTTTTATTGTGCTAATTTGCAGTTTTCGAGTAAGGGAGGTTGAATAAGCGCAGATAATCGCTATGAGCTGCCAGCTAAATGTACACAAAATATTAAGTTATTAGCTGCAATCATTAAAAGAATTGCTTCTGGTTCCCTTTTCTGTCCACTGTGGGAGGGGGCGAGCTCAAATTTCTACCACTATACACTTCAGCACTCCTTTTAGATCGTGTTTCACAAAAGCAAAGGAGCTCGTCTCTTAGTTAAGAGTAACAAACTTCTTTTCAATAAGATCGGTTTTTGTGATGCCAATAAGTTTAAAAAATTGTAGCCCAATTGATTTTTAATTGCTCATTGCTGTCCACTTCTCAAAATAATTTAGCTGGAAAACGGCCCATGATTTAAAGATTCCTGGCTACGTCACTGTCTGTGGCATCCATATGTATGCAGTTTCGTGGAGAATCAAATGCTGCATCGCTCAGAAAATATTCACTTGAAATCTATGAAAAATAGAGGAGATATTGCGAAAAGGCGAAGACCTCATTCATTGTAGGCCATCCTTCAGTCTCAAGAAAATCGAGTTTGAATTCGGGTTCCCTACTACTTTCCCCTCCTTAAAAATCAATGTTTGGCTATCACAAAATATCGAACAATAGCCTCTCCAACTGAGAAATGTAATTTCGATTTTCCATCAATCAGATCATAGGCAAACCAATCAAAATTATCCATTCTTCAAGCTATTCTTTTGGAATTCAGAATGACTTTATTTCACTGTTTAACAATGTGATGCATAGAAATATGCTTTTGCTCATATCTATATAGAATAAATAGCTAAATATAAAGAAGAGACTTGACACAAATGGCACTGCATTTAAAGTTCAGTAGTTCAGTGAGTTGATGTAGCAAACTGAAACCCACACACAATACTCAAACTTCCAAACAGTTTGGGTTTGGTGCATGCCTAGTTGGAGTCTTGTGTCATGTAAAATTAGCTATTCATAATAAAAAGAAAAATTTCTTACCTTTGTAAATGCTGTCTTTATGACTTTGGCAGGTTTTGTCTCTGACTCTCTTCAATCTCATGAAGAAAATCAAAAGTGCTTGGAATGTGTAATCTTTTTCATCACAGAGTTTTTTCAGTTTAGTAGTAAAGTAATAAATAAAACTTATTATTAAAAACATTGCTGCCTTTTATGCAACGACATCTAATCTCTAATTTATTTCTATTGGCTCCAATAAACAAATAAATAAACTTATACCATTTCTTCCTTTTCTTTTTTTTTGCTGTTTTTTCATCCTAGAACTAATTTCATAAGTCGTCTTATATTTCTAAATTTAATTCATTATCTGTTTCAGCTAGTGATAATATAGATACCAGTAATTTCAATTGTACATCGCATGGTTAGCTAATCGATAAGCACGTCAATATTTTCTAAAAAATTAAAACTATCTATTTAGATATGGATATATGTCAACAAACTCAGCTACAACTCAATGAAATAGAGAGCGAAGTATTTAAACTAATCATCTTTCTATTAAAACTTTTCATCATTTTCTTTTATTAAGATAGCTGAAAGTCAACGATTAGTAAGTGATAAAATTCCAACAGCTCAATTACAAAATGAATATGCATCAGATGATAAAATAGCAGTAAGTAAGATTAATATAAATAAAATAAAAATTATATTTTGACAAAAACAAAAGGAATTAATGAAAACATATAAGTATATTCGACGTATGCGTGGTGATGGAAATGGTTTTTATCGTGCATTTGCATTTGGTTATCTTGAAAAAAATTTAAATAATAAAAAAGAACTCGAACGTTTTCGTCAATTAACATATGATTTAAAAGATCAACTTGTTAAATTAGGTTATTTAGATTTTACACTTGAAGATGTACATGATGTTGTTATTGAAATGATTGATAATATATCCAAAGAAGGAAATGAACAAAGTTTAATAGAAAATTTTTGTTCACCATCATATTCAGATTATTTTGTTGCTTATTTACGGTAAATTATTATTTCTATATTTTTGCAAATTCA